AGGATCCTCGCATATTAAAGGATAAGCTTCTTAGTATACTTAATAAAAGAAGAAAATAAAATTGCCATCATGATACATATTCATTTATTCTTAGTACTTTCGACATTAGCACAATGTCATCATCAGGATATTAGGTTTTAACATTTGGACATTTTATTACGAAACGGAGTGGCTCTTGCAGCGTGTCTAACTGGCGATGGTTCGAGGTAATGCTTTCTCCATCATTGCGGCTGGCAGAGGATAGAAAAAAATTGTATATAGTTACTTTGTTTAAACTTTTTTTTCAGTAAATAAATTTCTCTATACTTTTATTAGTTAGTTAACTCCCGTTACATTCACAACAAGAAATTTAAATCGAACAATACTTAAACTTAGCGTTTTTCTCTTCACAGGGAAACAAGAATTACCTTTCACATTAACACAACAATTTTCTGTGTCCGTGATTGTGTGGTTTATGTGTCTATATATATATATATATATATATATATATATATATATATATATATATATATATATATATATATATATATATATATATATATATATATATATATATATATATATATATATGTGTGTGTGTGTGTGTGTGTGTGTGCGCGTCGTGTGTGTGTGTTCCATTCGCCTGTGTGAGGGTGTTTGTTGAACGTAATTATTCTTGATATATATATCATGAACTCTCCCATAAATTGACGACTAAATCACGTAAAAATTAAAATAACACTGACATGTCATTTTAAGAGATATATTTACCAAAATTGTACAAAGATATCTGTACAGCATGCCGTTTCCAAATATGTATATATATATATATATATATATATTATGAAATACTAGGTAATCCGTATGGGTAAACCTGAGGATAAAATCCAGAGAGCTCAATATAAATTGAGAGCAAATAATTTAAATAAAAACAGACCACTTTAAGGTTCCATGTAATAAATGATTTCACCACAGCCCTTTTAAAAGGACTGCGGATCATCGGACTTTACTTCCAAACAAAAATGTGTCAATATCTGCTAACTCACTCATGTCTTCTTTCTCCCCACTCACTTCCTCACTTCGTTAATTTACATATATTTAATACGGCCCGTCAAAAATGTGTAAATTTTCTTTTCATTTTTTGTTTGGAAGTAAAGTCTGATGATCCGCAGTCCTTTAAAAAGGGCTGTGGTGAATGTGACGTCTGCCTGGCCGCGCCCACCGTGCTGTTCTGGTCGCGGCGCCAATTATGACGTCACCACGCCTGTCTCCGCGCCGTCCTATCATGTCCTGTGACGATCAACTGGCTTGGTATTGGTCGCGGCACCAAATGTGACGTTCTAAACTTTTGCTGATTCGGATGGGAATGTGGTTAGATTCGGTATCAGCCTTGTCGTTCCCAACTCCCCTCCAACGTCTGGTTACCGAAGTAACTGTTTTGGTTTCTAGTCTAACCTACCCACGTTATGATTTGATCAATCAGTCGCCGGGCCGTAATGCCAGTCGAGTCCGAACAAGGGTAATGCCGCACAAGTATATGTAAAAGAAAATAAAGTAATAACTCGAAAATTCCAATGTGTTAAAAAGGAATAACAATATTTTATATCTGGTTGCTGAATACAGGACTGAATCTTTCTCCCAAACCGCTAATATGGATATGTGACACTTTGCGTTTGTTAGGCGAGTCTTAACATCTTAAATTGTTCTTTTAAGAAACTGGTTTTGGTGGCTCTTCAGGTGATATTCGTAAAACTTGTTTTGGTGGTGTGAGTCTAAGTCGTTCTTCAAAAATAAATTGTTCTTGGTTAGAAGTTGAGGTCGTGATTGCGTGGAATCTTAAATCAGCTTTCTGCGAGGTGGGTCATCAGAGCTCTCAGCTCAACTGCAAAGTGCAACTCCAACTGCTCAGCAACTCAGCTACGAACTGCCAACTGTTGTCTTACTCGTTGCGACTCTGCCTATATGGACGCCGACCAAAACTGGGGTGGGCCTGTCGCTGTTTGAGGCTCCTTGATAATTCTAAATCCGCATTAAGTGTTTTCTTGTTTTCGGGCAGGAAGATTTATTAATTTCCATTTTTGGAAGTCTTTACTTTCTAGGGTAGGTAATCGTCCCCCTACATTCTTTTTTTTCTCATATGGATATCCCATACCAATCCCTTCAGAGGCGTCAGCGGGTTTCCCCTCTCTCTCACAGTGGCATCTCATACCGATCCCTTCAGGGGGGCGTCAACAAACCCCCTCTCCTTCTTCACATGATTACCTTCGCCTACCGCTCACGCCACCATTCAGCAGTGTGGGTGTGGCTAGACTAACCTCGGTTTAAAAAATCTTGCTCAAAGAAAAAAAATATATTCTTTTTTTTTTCTTTTCTTTCTTTTCTTCTGCCTGACAACAAAACAATACGACCCGTAGTGTGGTCCCTTAATCTCAATCTTATCCGAATGTCACCTGGAGTTCGTCACTCGAACCTTCGCCAAACAAGTGGGTGGTCATCTGGCGATCTTGCACGCCACAGCCAATTATTCGTTTCGATAAAATAATTTTCCTATCATAGCCAGCTCCGACACAAACAGATGTTTTTTTCTCAAATGATACCTGCGCAGATAGTTAAGGATTTAATCTTTCCTTCCTGGTATTCTGCGGGTGGTCCAGCGGACATTTTTCTCGCGACCCAATTAATTTTTATCTCTTAGCATTCTGTCCCGTAGGCCACTCGGCCAATTTGAAACTTTCCTTATTGCCATGGGCAGATGGCTATATCTTATTCGCCGCACCGTAACATAAATCCATTATTTTACTTTCTTCGCTAATGAGAATAAAATCTTTACCACCTTTCCTTGTTAAAAAAAAATAACATCGTCTTTTCGTGATAGATTCTTATGACCTAATTTAATTCTCTCCTTTTTTTCACGCCACCCTAAATATTGTCACAATATACAAACAGACTCAGCCTCGATTTCTTCATTTCTGGTTATGAATATCTCATTGAGAAGCCCGGAGACAAAATAATAACAAAATAATACAAAATAATAACAATAATCCTCGTTCATTTCCTTTCCCTAGGTACGGTTTATGTAGTTCTAATGTTCTGCTGCCAGAATTCTGAAAATGATAAAATCACCATAAGTCTTGGAGGGTCATGACATCAATGAGGGTATAACCAAAAAAATAGCTACATGATCTGTGGCGCATCAGAAAGTGAGCCTATCTCCTAAAAAGATTCAAGCTATTTTTTCGTAGTAAATACCTCAGTTACTTTGGCTTCAGAAGGCCATATGCTTAAACATATACCTTAGAAACGGTAGGAAAGTTTTATTCTTTTGAATAAAATAGAATTAAAAAATTGATTATTATATGTTATTGTGTGGGATTTATTTCTATTTCTTTTCTTTTCTTTTTTTTTTTTGAAAATGAAAACATTTCATCTTTAGAGAAAACACAATTATTACCATTTCGTGTTTCAAAAGCAAAAGATGTTTACACGTATGATCTTCCTTAGTGAAAATAACGAATGGTTTAAAATGTTGATAGCGCTGGTTTCCCCGAAATTTACAAAATTCAATAAACATTTTTTACGTATGTGGTTATATATGAGAGAGTATGAGCGGGGCGAAGTGAGAATAAAAAAATATTTAAGAAACATTATTTTGCTTATGAAATTAAGCATGCCATTTAGAAAGACCCACGGGCCGCATGTGACCCACGGGCCGATGTTTTCCCCTGACTGCAATAGATGTTATACAAGAGCGGATATGTAGCAAAGATATGGAAAACTTCAGTCAAGTTGGCGGGAATTGTGTACTGATGCACTGTTTGAGTATGGTTTAGTTTGGTTTGTTTTAAGGCAAATCAACCTCAATGGGTTATGTAATAGCGACAAAATTTTTTAGTGCTGGTAATATTTTGTCAAAAATCTGTTTCTCGTAATATTTTTCCTTCAAAAATGTATTGCTGGTAATAATTTTAAAAAAAAATATTGCTCGTAATCGTTAACTAATTGCCCATAGCTAGGACCCTAACAGGTGCTACCACCCCGCGTCAGGGTAAACCTGGTAACACCAGCAATTAAGAAGTGGTTCCACTCTCCTCAAAACCTCCTGATCAGAGGCCTTACCGCTGGACGTAGTTTATCGTCTTACCCACGACGCGGATGTAGTTTATCGTCATACCTAGCCCACGGATGTAGTTTACCGTCTTACCCAGGACGCGGATGTAGGTTCTCGTCATACTCAGGACGTGGATGTAGTTTATCGTCTTACCCAGGACGCGGATGTAGTTTATCGTCATACCTAGGCCACGGATGTAATTTACCGTCTTACCCAGGACGCGGATGTAGGTTCTCGTCATACCCAGGGCGCGGATGTAGTTTATCGTCATACCCAGGACGTGGATGTAGTTTATCGGAATACCCAGGACGCGGATGTAGTTTATCGTCTTACCCAGGACGCGGATGAAGGTTCACGTCATACCCAGAACGCGGACGTAGTTTATCGTCTTACCCAGGACGCGGATGTAGTTTATCCTCATACCCAGCACGCCTTTTTGAGTATGGATGTGCGTAGCCACAAGTTAGTTTGAGAACATAAAACATCGAACTGAATAGTTTTTGTTCGAGCTTAATTTGAGATGAATAATTATCAATATACTTTCAATTATTATGCTCATATTTCATTATGAAATTGATGAAATAATTGATTTGTTTTTTTACGGTTTATAAAACCTTTGCAGGTTATTTTACTTTTAGATTGTAAGTATGTCTATATTCGTGGAGATGATAATGGTTTTGTGATACAAGTCTAATTACCTCAGAATTTGGTGTAGAAGAAGTGTATTCGCAACTTCCCCAAGGATATTTCTGTGGAAGTTAATATAACTTACAACATCTGCACATGCTTACAACATCAGGTATTCCAAAGATACTGACATGGATCGACGTTGCTTAACTTCGGTGATCGTACGAGCGTCAATATTTCAACGTGATATGATCATAAGCCATACCACCCACGCATCCAAGCTTAGAGTACCTGCTATTCCGAAGCTGTTGCCCATATAGCTATTGACCAGGCTCGACGTTGCTTAACTTCGGTGATCATACGGGAACCGATGTTTCAACGTGATATGGTCGTAAAGTATTTACTGTTATAGATGTTATTAGATTCATTAGAAATAATAGCAGCATAAAAACTAAAGCAGGATTTTATAGATTAAATAGACTGAAAAATATCATACAAAAAATATTGATAAAACAAACTAGAATTTTAAATTAAAGTTTATAAGAAAACAAACGGATCGTTTGCAGTAAAATACACACAGTGCCTTAGTCGTTCATTGTAAAGGTTTATATTATAATTTCGTCATAAAGTATGCAGTATTATTTTAAAACGTAAATTTTCGTGAAGTCCGTTTGTTTGATAATTTGTCACACAGCATTAATTATGTTTAGGTTAATTAGGTCCTTCGTGACGTTCAACATCATACCCCATGTTCACAGTGGCCCAGCCGGTACTGATGGGGTATCGATGTGTGTGTCATCTGTCAGCTAAAACATTCCTCATTTTTAATATATTTATTGCTCAAAATGAAAAATGTGGCACAAGTCCAAGGGGGATATAGCAAGAGGCTGGTCTACACTAACTATCTAACTAACAAGAATCAACGACACATTCATCCGTTACAATTTACCCATTCGCCACAAGAACTCATCCGTCTTTATTCAATCTGACATTAATAACGGCTTGTGTCACAATACCACATATAAACAGGGAAACTGCAAAAAAAAAACAAAAAACAAAAAACCATGATATTAAAACTTAAAAGGCGTAAAATATCTAATATAGAAATAGATAAAAATTTGCAGGAGTAAAGCGGTGGAGGAGATGATACTAAAAAACAAACTAAATTATGACAAATGAATAAACTAAAAAAAATATTCTAGTAAGTCCCTTCCGCCACACACAAAAATACGGGCGGCTGTATAAGACAGAATGAAAACGCTCACTCACTAAGGGAGAAAAAATAACAAAATAAATGGTAACCCAGCAGTGATCAAACGGTACGAATAAAAAAAAACCTGGTGAGGCGGCGAATGACGACATGGATCATGATGAAATAGAACAATGGGAAGAAACTAGGAACAACAATCACATTAACTATGTACAAAAAATAGTTCTAGCTTAAACAATGTAGAGATTCAACATGAAACCGTTTCTTTGTGTCAAAGGGGACCAAAAAAAGAAAATCAAGGCAGGCTCCATTCACTTGAACCAAGCTCGCCAATTTTACCCACCTTTCACTGAAATCTGTCAATAACAAATGCTTTCTATCATATCTGATTTTCACTTTGAGTTGGTGTGCAAAGAATCTGATCAGATCGCGATAAGAAGTTTCTCTGCTCGCTGCCACAGCTACCAACGTCAGAAACACCGACCGTTTTGACCCAGAATACGTGGGCTACATATTATTGCACGAATATGCGAGATCGATTCTACGAACATTCGCCGTAGGAAAACTCACCTCAGGAATTTTCGCCGTAGAAATCTTTGCCGTATAAAACTTTTGCTGTAAAACAATTTCGCCGCATTTTTTTTAATATCCGAAGTGCCCTGTTATCAAGTATATCTGGCTCAGACTATTGTTACTTCGATTTAAACATTCTAATAATTAATAAACGAAGTTATAAGATCAAAATACTACATCATTCTTCCTGGTCAAATTATGAGCGCAAAAAGTTGACACCAGAACCTACGTCACGCAATTTCATTTTTCTAAATTAGCGTTAAACCTTCTGTTAACCTAATATCTATCTGCCAATAATTCTCACTCAGACAATATATATTATTTCAAACAAATTTACAACTTGAATACGCAAACAAATTCAATGTAAAATATCTGTTCCAAGAAAGATAACCCTTTTAAACTCTCAGTAAATTTACAGAAATTATTTACAAACACTATTGTAAATTCACTAACAGTACCTAGATATAGAAATATACTTTCTTATGTTTGAACAAACACACCAGCTTCTAATCCAAAGTATAATTGAAATTCAGTTCAAAACACACAAAAAAATCATTTAAACAATTTAAAATGACACCTGGTTATATAATTAAAATATAATTGATAACAAGGTACTTCGCATATCAAATTGAACATTACTCCATAATGGACATTTGAGATAAGGGTATCAAAAAACAAATGCGGTGAATTTGTCTTACGGAAAAAATATTCAATGCGGCGATTTTTCCTACGGCGAAAATTCCATGGTCGAGTTTTTCTACGGCAAAATTTTTACGGCGAATGTTGGAATGTCCATATCACTATCCCGATGATGGCTCATATGATTCGAAAGCTTAGATGACCGAACAGCATAATAAAAACATCCAAATGTTGGAGAGTTGTTGTGTTTATTTTCTCCCGAATTTAAAGCCACTATATGAAGTTTACAACGACTCATGATCAAACATTGTTGTCTGTTATTTTGGTTTGGTTTGTTGTGTTTTACGGCATATCAACCTCAATG